TTTTTTCCTCCCGATCATTGAAGCTTTGCCTTTATTGATTTCGGTTGCTAGTTTTGTGGCAAATAAAATGCACGATTTACTATAAAAATAGTACCTACCAAATTTATTCCAAAAAAAAAAAAAAAAAAAAAAAAAAAAAACAGCGACAGACGAACGGTCGGCTTGAATGTATGTCGTCGTTGTTATGTAGCGCAATGAACGCCAACCAAAAAAATCTAGAAGTAAAACACATCACACACTCACAATTGGTCAGCAGAGGTGTGGTCAAAGGGGATACTAAGAATAAAGTCATGAAATTGTCAGTCAATTGTGAAATTTTCATATTTATTGGAATATTCTAAAGGGGATAGGTATGCAGGTTATTGACAATGGAGGGGTATGATCGTTTCTAAATAGAGAAGCATACTATATCCTTAATTCCTCCAGTCTCTCTATTACCCTAATGAGAGACTGGAAATAAAATAGGGAAGAATAGAGGTCTTAACAAAGTTTGACTTAAGAGCTCGATTTCAATTTATTTTTCCAATTTATTTTTTTTGTATTCCTATTTATTTTTCCGATATTTTGACTATTTTCGATAGTCATCAGGGAATTTTTTCCAGTTGGAAAATTCGTGTTAAAAGAAGAAGAATAGAGAAGCTGTATCAAAAAGTTAAAAACTAAGAAGAAACCAGTAATGAAAGTCAAAAGTCGGGCGGGGCAAACTATACGACACCTTACACCACTATGGGTATTTAGTAGAGTTCCCATAACAAAAAAGTTTATATTGGGAATTTATCTGAAGAAGATCATACCAACTATGAATCTTATTAGAATGCGTTTTATGGCTTCAGAGTAGTGACAATTGGGAACTATATCCAACTATAAATCGATTTTTAACAAATTTGACAGAGGATTTGTACCTTCTATAAGAATTGTATTAACAAATTTTTGTTGGAACAATAGATATACCAGACCGAATTTCACTAAATGGAAAACTTCGGTTAAATATGAAAAAATCTATCCAATTTGGTTAGATATTACATAGTATATGGTGGACACTAATCGAGAAATCGGATGAAGATGTATATTGAAGGTACATAAAAATCTGAACCGATCTCGATTAAGTTTGTCAGAGGTATTTTCGAGCTGTATCTAAAGTCCGGTATCAAATATTCTTATTGTGGAGTGGATATTACGCATGTAAAAGACTTTAATACCAAACAGGATGAAAAATATATACATTGGAGCTATAGCTATATCTGAACTGATTTTCATAAAAATTTGATGTACTTGCTTCTGCACTGAATTTGGTCGAAAGTGACAAAATTCAGTCCATTTGGGCTTATATTAATCATTTGGTGTACATTTTCATTCTATGGACTTATTCCTGAGATGTACCTGGTACCAAAGATCACTGTTGCGGAGTGCATATTATGTACGTGAGGGACTTAAAACCCCAAATTGGATGAAACATATACAGGGTGAGATGAAAAAACTGCAACAATGTCAAACGCCATAATTTTTACATTTTTTTTTAAATTTTATTGAATTGAAGCAAAAATTTCGGAAATAGCATCAAATTTCAGAATAAGTTTAGATTTGTTCGAATTGGTCACCATTGACACGAATTATGGCCTTCAAACGGCCAATGAAACCGTCACACGCTGCCCGAATGTAGCTCTGCGGTATTTTGGGCCATTTCCGGCGAAGCTCTTGCTTGAGGCGATCGACACTTTGGTATGTTTTTGTGCCAACCTTGTTTTCCAAAATACTCCAGAAACAATAGTCCTACGAATTGGTATCCGGAGATTTTGGTGGCTATTGTACGCTGGAAATGAAGCGAGGAATCTCATTTTGTAACGTGCTGAGTACGATGGTGCTGAGTCCTGTTGGAATTTCCAAGGTCTGCTGCCAAAATGTTTGCGTGTCTAAGGCTTTAAAACACCCTCCAGAATTTTTTTCGCGATAATATTCGGCATTTATTCTGATGCCACGGTTGATTAATACGAGCGGAGAGCGACAATCGGCTGTTATGGCTGCCCACACTATCATCATGGCCGACGCTTGAGTTCTGGTGGCCAACCGAAGGTGTACATTTTCAGCTGACCTCTTTGGCAAGTAAACATAATCATTTTGTTTGTTTACAAACTGTTGGACAACGAATGTTTTCTCATCGGAGAAAACCAAATTCGGCAGTTCACCACTTTCGGCCAAGCGAAGCAACTCTTTAGCTCTCTTGATTCTATTTTCTTTCTGTTGCGGTGTAAGTTCTTGCACTTTTTGGAATGGCTTCAATGGCTTTACCCCGAGCTCATTTATCAATATTTGCCGAATGGAATATTGCGATATGTTCGCTTACGCGGGTTTCGATCAAATCGCTTCTTTAATTTTCGAACCATTTCTGCTGATGTTGCTATTTTCTGCCTTGACGTCGGCCTACGAATAACTTTTTTTTGGACAATTCTCACCAAAATTTGTACGCTTTGTAAACAATATAATGAGCTGACACTGGAATAATTTTAACAGCTGTCGGACGAGTGGCTTAGAAATGACAGTAGTCTGAAATTGGTTGCAGTTTTTTCATTTCACCCTGTATAAAGATATGTATAGCAGCTATATCCAAATCTGAACCGATCTTGATAAAATTTGGCAGAGGTATTTTCGAGCTGCATGTGAGGGACTTTAACACCAAACCGGATGATTTGGTTCACGATAAACCTGAAATCAGATAAAGATTATATGGGAGCTATATCCATAACTGAACCGATCTTGACAAACTCACTTTTAGACTTAATTCGGTCGGATGTGCCAAAATTCGGGTCATAATCCTATCTTGTACCGAGTATCATTCTAATGTAGTGCAGATTACTGGATTGGGTTCGGATGCAACATGTATATGGAAGCTATAGCTATGTCTGCACCGATTTCCATCAAAATAAACATACATGCAGATGGAAAGGCGGACATATATTAAACGCAGAAAGAAGTAATACCCTATATCACAGTGTGGGACAGGATATGTAAAGACTTACAGGCCTCGTGAAAACGACTTAAAACAACCCTGGTTTGAACTAAGTAAAATTTTTGACTCAGATGAGCGGCGATATTCTGATGTGTTGTCCGTTTGGATTTCGAAGGAGGAAGGTTGTGCTAAATTTTTTGCTTTTTTATTTTTTCGAAATTCGAAATTTCAAAATCTGGCATACTTTCGAAAATATTTTTTTTTCGTAAATAGTCGGAGATATCGAAAAAAGTATTAAGAACACGAATGAGCACAAACCGAATAAAATTCAGCACAACTTTTATTTTTTCAAAATTCGAAAGTTGCAAAAAATATTTTTTAGAAAAAATCGTTTTTCGTATATAATACTTTTTCGAATCGGAACAATAGAGCACAAACCTAGCACAATTAAGCATAATTTCCCCTTTCTGATCCTTTAGAAGCACCAGGAAAAACTTATTAGTTTAAATTTACAGAGTTTGTCATCTGTGGCTCGCCCGAGTCTTCTAACGTTCAGGTTATCAGATATCATTTTTGAAGACATCGCCACAGTGGGATAATATCAAGATCATAGCGAACTTCCTCGTCAGACAATCTTACTGATCCCAGAGTTTGCGAACTGAAATGGGGGAATTAAAAGTTGGTCGATGGGCAAAAGTCCAACCGATAGGAGTGAATAGTGGGCAATGATGAAATCTCCCTCGAAACTGGAATATGAAACAAAACGCTATATTAAAGGTAAAGCTTTGACATGTTGCACAGACATTAATTATGATCGTCTGGTCTTTCGTTGAGGACGATCTCATGTGTTTCACTAATTCAACAAAATATTCTGGTCGGCGTTAGACAGTTAATTCCATCCACTAATTACCCAAAGTTCTGGGGGTCACATTTGACAGAATCTTTAAGTTAGCTGCTGATAAATTTCTCCCGTAAGAATCCAGTGATTTTAGTTTTATGGATTCAGCTTATAAAATTTTCAAATCTTGAACCTCGCTTTGTTAGAAAAACGTTGGATGGACAGAATAGATTTCTTGTCAGGCGTCAGAAATCTGATCAACTTTTGGCGCAAAAATTTGGTGATGCGAATCATCTAACTCTAGGTGGGTGGGGAATTCGATTATTTCCCAGTTTCTAAATAACTCATATCGAACTGGTGATCCTTCAATCCGTTTAAGTGTGTCAGGGGTGTCAGGTTATTTGATCAATGCCACCACCTACGCTACTGTATTCCGATATCAGACAAAACTCTTCCAAAAATAATTTATTTACTGTATCTACTGTTAGGTTAGCAATGCGGTGGCGTTCTCTTCAGCTCGTACCGATATTTTGTTTGTTTTTATTGTTGTTACTATTTTTCTAGGGGGCAGCAACAACAATTGTTGCAGCTTTTTTTTGTTTGTTTGGTTTTGTCGTCTTTATATCGTTAACTGTCATCATTTTCAAATTATTTCTCGTAGAATATCTAATCGAGATTCATGCATGATCCCTTGCTAAATTGCTGTGGCTGCTGCTGCTGCTGCACATCCATGATTTTAGATTTTATTGTTGTTGGTTGGTTGGTTCGTTTTGGATCGTTCGATCGTTCGTTGTACGGATAGCTAGCTGTTTGTTTTTTGGGGGATCTAACATTTCTTTTGTTGTTGTTGTTTTTATTTTTGCTAAAACAAAGAAAATCATGATTTCTATTTTTTTTCCAATTTCTGGAGAATATTTTTGTTTCGCCTTGTTATGCTTGGCGAAATTGTAGCCGTTGTTGTTAAACAATTGATATGTCTCTTTTTTTGTCGTTGATGATAATTTCTATTCGATCTGCCCGAGTAAGGAGTTTTGGGTTAATACGTGTGCCAAGCAACGACGGTTGCACATGCATGGAATACTTTAAGTCATATTCCACGTCCATGGCCATTAAAAATGCAACAACATAATAAACTAGATTGGATTGGTTTGTTAAATGGTTGAGTTGATATCATTTTTTATTTGTTTGTTTGATTTTAATAGCTTTATTGCCACCTACCTTCGAATTGGGAGCGAGAGGGGGGCCGTTTATCTGTAAAACAATGGGAAAAAATGGGAAATTATTTATTTAGATATTTTTGGATTTATTAATGGATATATGCTTATAGTTTGAGATGGAAAGATGCTGACGGTCGCTACATTCGATACTTTCGAAAGGTGGCTTTTTATACCCCCAGCCATATGACTAGAGAGGGTATACAGGGTCAGATGAAAAAACTGCAACCCACTTTAGACTGCTGTCATTTCTAAGCCACTCGTCCGACAACTGTTAAAATTATTGTATTGTTTACAAACCTACAAAAGCATTTTTGTGAGAATTTTCCAGGAAAAAAGTTATGCGCGATGGAAATCAAGCGTGATAGTGTGATTTCTTTATATTTGACAGGAAAACCACAAGTGGCTATCTTTAGAGCACTCCAGCATTTAAATTTGAATAAATCTTTTGTGTCCCGTAACAATGGGGTAAAGCCATTGAAATTCCAAAATGTGCAAGAACTTACACCGCAACAGAAAGAAAATATACTCAAAAGAGCTAAAGAGTTGCTCAGCTTGGCCGAGTTGGTGAGCTGCCGAATTTGGTTTTCTCCGATGACAAAACATTTGTTGTCCACAAGTTTGTAAACAAACAAAATGTGTTTACTTGCCAAAGAGGGCAGCTCAAAATGTGCACCTTCGGTTGGCCACCAAAACTCAAGCGCCGGCCATGGTGATGGTGTGGGCCGCCGTAACAGCCGATGGTCGCTCTCCGCTCGTATTAATCGAACGTGGCATCAGAATAAATGTCGAATATTATCGCGAAAATATTCTGGAGGGTGTAGCAAACCTTGGACATTCCAAAAGGACTCGGTACCATCGCACTCAACACGCGCCACAAAATGGGGTTCCTCGCTTCATTTCCAGCGCCCAATGGCCACCATAATCTCCGGATACCAATCCGTTGGACTATTGTGTCTGGAGTTTTTTTTGAAAGTAAGGTTGGCACTAAAAAATACCAAAGTGTAGATCAACTCAAGTAATCGCTTCGGCGGGAATGGGCCAAAATACCGCAGAGCAACATTCGGGCAGCGTGTGACGGTTTCATTGGCCGTTTGAAGGCCATAATTCGTGTCAAAGGTGACCAATTTGAACAAATCTAAACTTATTCTAAAATTTTTTGCTTTCATTCAATAAAATTTAAAAAAGAAAAGTAAAAATTATTGTGTTTGGCTTTGTTGCAGTGATTTTATCTCACCCTGTATATCATTTGCTATACTCAAAAAGTGCCTAATCGAAATAACAATTTTAGACACTAGGTCTCTTGTGCCAAATCCGTTTCAGGACATTAGGAGTCGATCTAGCGATGTCCGTCCGTCTGCCCGTTCGCCCGAGATAGAGTTCGGAGTAAGGCAATATCGGTCCACTCCTTCTAATACCTCCCACACAAAAGGTTGACATTTTCAAAAAAAAAAAAAAAAAAAAATGTTTTACTGCACAGAGAGAGAAAGGATAAAGGATAAACTGTGCAAGTCCTAATATTACCTACAGTGCTAGGTCTGGTGCGAAAATGGACAATATCGGCCCATCAAGTACCTCCCACACAAAGGGTCAAAATTCTGAATAATTCTAACTTTTGTAAAATGTGATGTACGAGTACGAGTTCCAATAATCGTAACAGAAGTTGAAATATAATAAAATAATCGAACATTGGGTGAGGGTACACTCCTGTCATTGAAGCTTTATTCCATAAGCTACTGTAATTTTGGACAAAGACTCAATGGAGATCTTTAAGATCCCAATTATCAAAAGGCAGATAAAAACTAAGCGACTTGTAAATCTTAGCAAAAAGGATAGGCTTTGGATTTTGAAATACCCCAACATATAGGCTTTCTCGTGATTAACTTTTCTTTCCCAATTGCAAAATTATCTTGTTTTTTTTTTGTTCTTTCAAAAGCCCCAACACCCATAGACCGATTTTCTTCTTATTAAATTAATATCATAACAACTCGATCATGTTTGTCACCAATTAAATGAATTAAATTTTTATTTCATAGATCTCTTGTTTCTGGTTAATTGCCGTAAATTAACGATGACACTACCGGCTGATTGCCATCGAATGGTCGGTTGTTCGGTCGCTCGCATTTGCTATTGGAAACTAAACACATGTCTAATACGAACATGAATGAATTGTGTGGTGGCTCCCATCGTAACGGGGAAAAATTAATTGGTTGAAAGATCAAAACCCACAAGTCAATGGGAAAAATGATCGTCAATTTTTGGTTTAATTTAATAAAAATATCATTTCAACAATTGACCAAACGACCGAAAGATGTGGCATAGATTTTGAGCAATACAGAAAAAACTGTGACTCAGCGATGTTGAAGGCAATCAGATGACATGTTCTAGTTTTTGGACATCGGAGTTTTCTGTGAAAAGAAGGCTTTTCGCAGATAAAATCCCATTAAAAGGTCTTCTATTAGGAAAATATGAACGATTCTATAGAAAGATCGGTTGATCTTCACATAGAAGATTGATTGATCTTTCATAGAAGATCAATTGATCTTTTCATAGAAGATCAGTTGATCTTCTAATAGAAGAAGATCAGTTGATCTTCTCATAGAAGATCAGATGTTGTTCTCACAGATGATCAGTGGATCTTCTCACAGATGATCATTATATCTACTCATGGAAGATCAGTTGATATTCTCATAGCAAATCAGTTGATCTTCTCATAGAAGATCAGTTGATCTTCTCATAGAAGATCAGTTGATCTTCTCATAGATCAGATGTTGTTCTCACAGAAGATCAGTTGATTGTTTCACAGATGATCATTATATCTACTCATGGAAGATCAGTTGATATTCTCATAGAAGATCAGTTGATCTTCTCATAGAAGATCAGTTGATCTTCTCATATAAGATCAGATGTTGTTCTCACAGAAGATCAGTGGATCTTCTCACAGATGATCATTATCTACTACTCATGGAAGATCAGTTGATATTCTCATAGAAGATCAGTTGATCTTCTCATAGAAGATCAGTTGATCTTCTCATAGAAGATCAGTTGATCTTCTCATAGAAGATCAGTTGATCTTCTCATAGAAGATCAGTTGATCTTCTCATAGAAGATCAGTTGATCTTCTCATAGATCAGATGTTGTTCCCACATAAGATCAGTTGATCTTCTCATAGAGGATCAGTGGATATTCTCATAGAGGATCAGTTGATATTCTCATAGAAGATCAGTTGATCTTCTCATAGAAGATCAGTTGATCTTCTCATAGAAGATCAGTTGATATTCTCATAGAAGATCAGTTGATCTTCTCATAGAAGATCAGTTGATTATCTCATAGAAGATCAGTTGATCTTCTCATAGAAGATCAGTTGATCTTCTCATAGAAGATCAGTTGATCTTCTCATAGAAGATCAGTTGATCTTCTCATAGAAGATCAGTTGATCTTCTCATAGAAGATCAGTTAATCTTCTCATAGAAGATCAGTTAATCTTCTCATAGAAAATCAGTTGATCTTCTCATAGAAGATCAGTTGATCTCATAGAAGATCAGTTGGTCTTCTCATAGAAGATGAGTTGATCTTCTCATAGAAGATCAGATGTTGTTCTCACAGAAGATCTCATAGAAGATCAGTTGATCTTCTCATAGAAGATCAGTTGATCTTCTCATAGAACATCAGTTGATCTTCTCATAGAACATCAGTTGATCTTCTCATAGAAGGTCAGTTGATCTTCTCATAAAAGATCAGTTGATCTTCTCACAGAAAATCAGTAGATCTTCTCACAGAAGATCTTCATATAGAGTATATTTTCATAGAAGACCAGAAGATCAGTAGATCGTCTCATAGAAGATTGGTAGATCTTCTCACTGAAAATCAGAAGGCCCTCTCATAGAAGACAAGATGATATCATAGAAGATCAGTACATCGTCTCGTAAAAAATATGTAGATCTTCTCAAAGAAGATCAGTCGTAGAAGCAGATCTTATCGTGCATGCTCTGTAGATTTTTTCATGGAAATCTATCGATCTTTTCACAGAAACTCAATCTTTCTTCATCTCCTTTAAATTGTATTATTTCTAGTACCCCATCCATTGAACATCTGATTCTCCTTCAAATACCATAGAATATTTTCCTGTGTTGTTATTGTAATATAATGACCATTATTATTACCATTCCATTGATTTGGAATTCCTGTTGTTCTTTTCATTGCCGACATAGGCCAATAACTTCATCGGCAACAGCAGCGGCAGTCAGTTAGTCATCTCATTCAATCAGTTTGGGCCATTAACACATTCAATCGACATCAAAATATTTCTACTTTTCTTTGGGCCAGCCATTCAATTCCTTCGTGCCAAGAATGACAGGTATTGTTCGAAAGAATACTTCATTCGCTATTCATTATTCTATTGAAAATTACGGTCTAAGAAGAGAAGTAGCTTCGATCAATGGAGTTGTTTTTCCTGGGATTAACATCTTTTTTTTATCAAGAAACAGAAGAGGAAAGAGAAAAAAGTTCTTTCAACAAGTGATCTCTTTCATGTCAAATGGGAACTATTATTAATCATTTCATCTATTGAGAGGGTAAAAGGGGTAAGGAGAGAGAGCGAAAAGTGGTGCTATGGCGAATTAAACAATTACAATAATTTCAACACATTATAAGTCAATTTTGTGATCATAATAGAAGAAAATAGTTGATTATTATGGACCGGACTTCTTTTGAGCCGCACTAATGAATAGCTCTTAAGACATTCAATTCTTAATGATAGCTATTTGCCAACGAATCCAAATGTCATTGCAGAAAAAGCGATAGCTTTTTTGATATTTCTCTTCGTTAGAAGGCTTGAAGTAGCGTTATTTATCCTCTCCCTTTTTTCGGGTTTCCAATACCCTAAAGGGCCATTTGATTTGGCTGCTTGTAAAACACTATCACGTTTTGTCTAATGAATGAAGATCAATTTTTACAGCAACAACAAGAAGCGGAGCAACAAAAACATGGACATGTCCTCGATGATGATGACAACGACGACAACAAACATTTGAAAAA